AAAAAAAAAAAAAAAAAAGTTTTTTAAATTCAATTTAAATAACAGAAATCTAATAATAATAATTTAAAAAATTGTTAAAAGTCCCCCGCGAGCACGCGCGTCGCCACTAAAACACGCGTCGGGTGCGCCTACGTATGAAAACGACGAACGCGCTACACATGTTGGGCATCGCCGCGCACGCTGGAGTGAGAGCAATAATTCTAGGGCCAGTATTTTGGGGTATCTCTAAATTGATGACCTTGATGGGGGCTTTTAAAGCGTCTTCTATGGACTTTTTGGGGTACTGGGTTTTTCGCCGTTTTACGGATGCACGCAATTTGTAACCTGGGCATGTTGGGTATCTTTTTACTCGTAACCTCATCTTTTATATTTCATTTAAAAAATGGGTATTTTGTTGTGTTTTGGGGCATTTAATTAAATTTTTCACTAAATATTGGGGTTTAATAAGGAGTTGCGCTAATATTGCGCAACATAAAAATTTGCAACTACCATCATTTTATTCTATAGGGTCTTGGCATTCAGAAAATATATCATGTTGGGGGGTTTTAAGTAATTTTCAGGCCTAAAATGTGGAATATAACATGGGTACAAAAAAATGAAAAAAAGGCCTCAGTCATGAAGGGGTTAATTCTAATGATTTTGGGTAATATTTGATGATTCATGAGGCCCATATCTTCTAAACATGTCAAACCTGAAGAATAGTTTGTAGGAGATTTGCTGTAAATCTATCTGATTTTGATAATTCATGTATTTTCAGAAATGGAAGACTTTTCCCAAGTACTGGCTATACATCTGACTTCTGCACAGATCTGAGTAACTTGTTGATTTGTTTCTGGTGAAAAGGGCTGTCCATGAATTTGATGAGAGGGGCTTCCAAATAAGTTTTAACATGAAAATATACAGCTGTCCAGTTGACGATTTTGGCAAGTGTTCACTTCCCAAAAACATATCATATATCTGATTACATTTCCTTGCTCATACTGGTTGTCCAGTGGATTTGCCTTTTTATTACTTGGAGGCTTAATGGCCTCAGCCAAGATGTCATACATAATCTTTAAAATCTCTTTTTTAACTATTGTAACATATTGATGTCAATGAATTACACTGTTGCAAAGGCAGTTTATACTACATATTTTACATTTTAGTATGTTCTGACAGCAGGCTACATAATGGATTTCTATATAGTTACATAGTTACATAGTTACATAGTATTTGAGGTTGAATAAAGACATTAGTCCATCAAGTTCAACCTATTAGGAACTCATTCTAGGAGTACCTGTACCCCTGTATATTACGGTCCCTTAAGAAATCGTCCAAAAGTTTCATTTCAAAAACTATCATTTTTGTTTTAATCTCTAAGTATTTTAATTATTGCACTATACTTATTAACGCGGTTGTAAATTTCCTGTAGCTGTTTTTCTGTTGCTAAGCTACTGTTGTCACTTTCAATTAGCTAGCCTGTGTCTTATACTACCTTCTTATCATGAGGTTATGACAAGTTATATACTTCTAAACTGAGCTTAAGAATAAAATGATTTGCCATATTTTGTTATTTAATATACTGTAGATATATATATATATATATATA